CCCCCCACATCCCGATATTTGACCTGGGTGATCTGGTCACCCTAACTCTCCTCGACTGGCCAGGGCTGAAGGAGCACAGGATTTGGCCCAGTCTTAAAAAAATAATAAAAAAATTTGTAGACCTTCCTGACAAACCCATCCAAACAGTAATTTATATTTTCTAAGTGTCTTTCATAGTGCTGAGCCCTGAAGGGCTCTGGGAGTGGAATGCTGTGAATTTTCCACTCACTCAAATGGGAATTTCCTTTGATCCCTTCCCAGTTCAACACTACAAAGTTTTGTTGCCATATCGCTATTGTGGAAAAAATCCACACCTCTGATTGACATAGCTATGGCAGCAAAATCCCCCATATAGACTCAGCTATAATGGGAAAAGAGCCCATTTGCCAGTATAGTTTGTCCTTTAGGAAGGTGGTTTAACTATACCATCAAAAAACTCCTTTTGCTGGTGTAAGCTATGTCTTCACTAGGAGGCTCTGCTGGTATAGCTATATTGGTAAAGCCTTTCTAGTATAGACAAGCCTGAGGCTCAACAATTTTTCACTTGCACCTAAAGTAACTGGATGAGTGGATCAGAGAGAAAAGTTCATCAATAAAAAGTTGACTTCTCCTTGACTTACATTGCTGGTCGTGTTAAAATAGATGAACTGTCTAGCCATGGTCCTGACGTGTTCTATGGAGATGAGGCTGGCAACCTCCAACTGCAATGAGTAAAGTGATTAAAATAAACAAAGGAATGTGTGGTGGGGGTTTTAAGCTGACTGACTTATCAGAAACAGATTGTTAACAAAATGAGAAAAAATTATGAAAGTGTATCATGAAGAAAGGGGGGTGAAATCCAGCTGGGGGGTGCCCAGATGCAGACCAGTACAGGGGGACCCCCATCTGGGACACTATATGTGTGGCCTGTACCGAGCTTATTAAGACTCCTCTCCCCAGACTGGTGTGGAGGAAGCAGGGGCAGCAGCAAGACAGGGATGAGGCACCCTCATACATGCGTGATGTCATGGGACTCTATGTTCTTCTGTTTTGACTCTGGTAGAAAAAGGGAAGAACCGGGGAACTTGTTTAGATATTGACAAATCCACTCCTCCCGGTTTAAACCAGGCAAGTGTCAATCTTAATAGCATCAGTTCAGAGTCATATGTGCTTATTTTAGTGACAAAGATACTTTTCCCCTTCTTTTTATTCCCGTTAGCAGTGCAGAGTCGACACAGCCAAATTATGTACCATCTCACATATCAGTAGTTTAGCAAGTTCCAGTTGCGAGGTGTGATCCTGTCATCTATTGGATTATATCTTAGTGGCAAAAAAGGTGCATTTACATCAAAATACCTATCTTGATTTAAAATCCTAGCATAGACAAGGCACAAGTAGTTTTTACCTTGATGTAGCTAGTTGAGGTCAATGCTAAGCACTTTATCTGGGGTTGTTGCTGACTAACTACATCAGATAAAAACTACAGTACCATGTCTCCATTAGGAGTTTACATTAAGTGGGGCGTTTCTATGTAAAAAAACATGCCTGTTTTGCAGTGAAGACAGTCTTACCCCATGTGCTACCCTGTTGAATAACACCAAATGGAAACTGTGTTTAGAGAAACCTTTTGCTTTGAAATCACACTGCAGGGCCAGCATGCTGCTTTCCTGGAGATAGCCTGAACAGCGATAGGACAGGACAGGACAGCCAAGCAGTTACACTAACCTGAGCATAAGAAACAATGTGGTATCGAATGAGCTCCAGACGTTTCCATGCACCCTGCACAAACGAACAAAGGACTTTTTTTAACCCAATACAGATAGCACAAATCTGATCTGCTTTAACACAGCACCGATAAAATAAGGATATTTTTATCATTTACCTGAGTCTTGAAAATGTCTGTATTATTAGTGATGCTCCTCTGAAATCCAAATAGTGCTCTCCTCACTGCATCTAGTCTGTCCTAGAGGTTACTCTCATCTGGTCTCTGTTCTTGTGCTTTCACCCTCATTTCCTTTTGGGGGCGACCTTTTATTTGCTGTGCATTTCCTGCTAGATGTTCCCTAGGATCAGTGCGCAGAGGAAACCATCCTCCTCCCACCCCCGTGTTGATCTTCCCTTTCCACCCAGATGAAGTGGGAAATGTTGGGGAGGTGCTAGTGAGGGACATGTATCGTCTCCCAGCTCCAGCAGCAGTAAATCTACCCAAAACGTAATGAAGCCTGAAGCTGCATTAACTCAGTGTCCCCTCTGTGCTGTGAAATCTCCCTTTAAAGAGTCTCTGAGGTCAGCTCCCAGGGAAAGCCTTGTCACTATGGTTTCAATGGAGCCATGCTACCAGGAAATCAGAATGGGAGCAGGTGGCTGTAGCCAGTGGGGGTTCACAATGTCTCTCTGTAAGGGACAGAAACTCTGCACCCCAACCCTTGGATGGAAGAATTCAGCAGATCATACTTTGTTCCCACATTTGCAAGGAGATGGGCTGATCTAGCCTTTTCTATCAGGAACTTGTAGGACAGTGAATTTTCCAGCCTTCACTTTGGGAGCAAGTAGAAGGGGAGAGGATGGATTAAGGGGGTGAGGACATTTTTGCCTAAACATGAAAATATTAGCAAAAACTAGGAGGAGGATTAGATAAATCTAGTTTCTGAAAATGTTGTATTTTCTTGTTCCTTAGCATGAAAGTTCCACTTTAAAGCTGCTTAGAAGCATGGAAATTACCATCTGGTTCAGACCCAAGGCCCATGTAGCCCAGTATCCTGTTTCTGATGCCTCAGAGAAAGGTGTAAGAACCATGCAGTTGGCAGTTGTGGTGTAATCTGTCCCTCACATTAGCCTGGGTGGTATTCAGTCTGCAGGGAGCTTATGACCCTTTGGGATTTGCCATGGTGATGATGACTACATTAGCTCTTTTCCTGATTGCTGATAGAAAAAGATTGACTTAAACCTAGAAGCACAAAAGCTTAGTTTTATCAACACCAAAGCTGTAAAAGACTGATCTGAATTATCTGAAGAGTTATACCTCTGTAGAAAGCAGGTAGTCCAGTGCTCCATCTTTCATGTTATCCAAAGCATTGTTGTTTGGAACAAAGATTGTGTACGGTCCACCATCCTGCTCCAAGACCAGTCCCAGGATAGTTTTCTGTTTTTTATTAAAAAAAAAAAAAAAAAAAAAAGGGAAATTACATACTAGCTTTGTTGTGCATTTAAAAATAGCTTTATAGAATTCCACTTCTATATTCTTACCTCTAACATGGATCTAAATCGGCTGTATCTTCTATTGTCTTGAATCACTGTCATTATGGTCTCCTAAAAATGTATTTTTAATTTTTGTTACATTATAGTTAAATTAGAAATGAAATAACTAATGCATTTAAAATTTATCCATTACATGATCTTAAGTGTATTATCAATAGTAAAACATACTTTCATGCTCATAAAATCCTTGTTTACAAATACTTGAATTATTGAATGAGTCTCAGTCGTTAAAGACCTGGCTGTATTTGTTGTTTTCATTTATTATTTGTATTGCTGTAGGACTCAGACACGCCAGCTGAGAGCAGAGCCCCAGTACGAGGCACTGTACTTTCACATAGTAAGAGATGGCCCTACCCCGAAGAATTTACATTCCAAATCCACAAGACACACAAAGGATGGTAGTATTGAAGGATTATTATCTGTGTTTCCCAGTAAGGCAGTGAAGTACAGAGAAATTAAGTGTCTTGCCCAAGATCACACAGGAACAGGTGTCTTGAGAAGGTATCTGAGGTTGGGCACTGAAAAATGGAGACAACCAAAATTAGTGGTTATTTTTCAAAATCCATGGTCTTCAGTATTTTGGTTGCTGGTTGAACTTAACTCAGGTCAGGAGTTACCCAAAAGTCACTACCATCTAATGGCTGTTCTGGGATATGTGTTGATGGTTTTAGTCCAGTCCCCAGTGGACAGGTGTCCACATGTCAAAAATCATCATTACAACTGACCCTTTCATTGATCATCTCAGCAGAGAAGTAAATGTCTGAACGGCATGAAAACTACATTACCCCCTGTTACTTTGGAGGCTGTCCCTGCAGGTAGGCTTGCCAACTTTCTACTCACACAAAACCGAACATCCTTGCCCTGCCCCGCCCCTCCTCCAAGGCCCCACCCCTGCTCACTCCATCCCCCCTCCCTCCGTCGCTTGCTCTCCCCACCCTCACTCGCTCATTTTCACTGGGCTGGCTCAGGGGACTGAGGTGCAGGAGGGGGTGTGAGGGCTCTAGCTGGGGTGCAGCCTCTGGGGTGGGGGTAGGGATGAGGGGCTTGGGGTGCAGGAGAGTGTTCCGGGCTGGGATCGAGGAGTTCAGAGGGTGGGAGGGGGATCAGGGCTGG